ATATATATATCGGCAGACACAGTGTTCAGAGGGTGTCCTGAGGCGTCGTCACAATGTGAATCTGAACAGGGCGTCACACCCCTCTAACTAAATGCCTTGCTACTGGTGTTGATTAGCTGTGGCAGCCATCTTGAACAGACTCCAAAATGTAATCAGTTGTAGATGTATGACCAATGAATTTTTCCTGAAATATTTTGCTAATGCATAAACACAATTGACATGAACAGTTGCATGGGTTTTCTCCAGGTACTCCCACACCCCAAAAACATGTGCAAATAGGTTTCCTTCAGACCCAGCCCTCCCTTGAAAAAAAAGATTTGCCTGGTCAAACAATGGTGAAATAAAAACAAATAACTGTAATTTTAACACGTCCTGGTCCTCTGTTCCAAAGGCTTTACATACTTTCCTGCTCCAATACATCTAATTCAGTTGTGTGAGTCATCTCCTCTGCAGATCTTTGGGTTTTACAGGTGACATAAGAAAATAAATCACAGTAAGTTGTGTTAAAATAGAAATATCAGGACCATCAAGTTACACAGCATATGGTCACCATGATCACCATGAAAGACTAACAAGCCTTAAATAAAGCTGGATTAAATGTTGTCTTATCCCTCTGAAGTTAAACATTGTTTGTTTTGACAAAAAGAGTTTTTCTTCTCAGCCCTGAAGGTGTTCACCTGTGCTCAGGAGGATGGAGCCTCAGGGGGCGGGGCCCTGGATGACCTCATCTTCCCAGCGCTTACTGACATGTGCACAGAGGGCAGCTGTTACCCAGCAACAGGAGACCTTCTGATTGGCCGAGCCCACCGGTTGACGTCCACCTCCACCTGTGGACTGAAGCGTCCGGAGCCATTCTGCATCGTCAGCCACCTGCAGGTAAAGGAACACCTGGAGGTTCTTATACTGTGGATCACTTCAAGCAGAGAAACCAGTTTGATGATGTCACTGTGGTCAATAGATTTAAAAGTGACAGTTTTCATATATATCAGTTAATAAAACAGAGTGAAGTTTGATTAGTTTTGGTTCCTTTGAAAATAAGTAATGTTAAAGGCCAACACCCACCATTTTAGTTCCAAGTGCTCCTAAAGGGCTCGACACACG